TGTGAGGTAGCATCATAAGAAAAATATTCACGAGATCACTACAAAGATCAGCAGCTTCCTTTCTCTTCCTCTGTGCAATCGAACCTGGTCTTCAATGACCCCAATTCTTCTAAATAATCCATTAATCACCTCTTGAACTCGGGCACCAGAAGGAGGATCAACTCATATGAAGAACCCACAAGCACCCTAATCTGCATTTATCAAACAACAAAAAATTCAAACGAGAATGATTCAACAGAGGATAAATATATATATATTAACTTACTCCATATCGAGGACAACCCAGAAACCTTCTAAAGGATTATTCTCAGTTCAAGATGTGCATACTTGAGCCCTTAACCCACATTGGCAACAGATTGATTCCATTTTCTTTCTCTCCTCTTCTTTGTCTTGCCCTCAACCCACATACATAATATATTATGTACATATATATGCTCTGTATCAATTGCAGAATTGGGGAAAATGGGTGGGGGGGTGTCGAGACAGCCTTGCCCTTGCAAGAACTGTGTGTGCAAGGCACACGTGGGGTTCCCGTCCAAAAACCCAACGGATGTTAACTATTGGATCACATAGACCCAAAAACCAAACTATAGGGGCAAAATTGATGCAATTGGAAGTGGAGGGACCACAATGAAACTACAGGTAAACTATAGGGACCATTTCTGTAATTTGTCCAAAAATTTAATATCATTAGTAGATTATTAGTAGTTTAAACATGTAATCGCTTTGTGACAATGACCTTTGGACATTATGGCATCACTCCTACACTCTCTCAAGAGAAGTTAGATGTTCAAGTTCCCTCCCTTACTTTGTAATATCATGATGTTATTATAATGTGATAGGATTGATTAATGTCTAAATTATAATGTGTGTGGCTATTTTCTTGTTGATCGAGTACAAAAATGCGTAAAATAAATTCATCTGAATGTGGCCCACACTACATTCAAGTTTTGAATAAATTTTTACATATTTTTTCTTAGTTCATAGGATTTCTACTTTCGTGTTGTTGAAAAAAAAAGTATTGTAATGTGTGTCTCTAAACAAGTAAATGAATGAGATGGAATTTTTATATGAAGAAAGTATTGTAATGTGTGTCTCTTTATATATATATATATATATTTTCACCAAGTATTGTAATGTGTCTCCATTATGATTCACAGGTTCAGGAGATTGGAAAGGCTGGGAGCAAGTTCATTGAAGAGGAGTTAAAAATGAAGAATGTATATGACTACATGTTTCATTTGCTATATGGATATGGAAAACTTTTGAAATACAAACCAACTATACCAGAAGGATCAGTTGAAGTGTGCTTAGAGACAATGGCATGTTCTGGACCAGAGTTGGAGAAGACGTTTAAGATGAGTTCCATGGTGAGCGGTCCAGCGAATACGAGCCCATGTACCATGCCTCCACCTTATGATCCTACAACTCTTCAATCTTTTCTTGAGAGGAAATCAAATCTAGCAAAGCAAGTGGAGAGGTGGGAGGCCAGTGAAAACAGATAATTGGAAGAGACAAATTTAGAAAATTTGAAGACCATTTTCTTCTGCAATCATTTTCTAAAAGAAAAATTTATCCATAAATCTCATATGTTTGAATGTTGATCTATTTAATTCTAAGAGTTTTCTTATGAACCAATTAATCGTTTTTATTTAGGAAAGTTATATTTATTTAATTTGGTGCCATTTTAGTTTAAGTGAATGTCTTTTTATGATTTATTTTTCTAATTTTTTGATTCATTTTTGGATGGGAATAGAAGGTGAGGAGTGAAAGTTTTTTTTTTGAGAAATTGGTGGTTGAAGTGTTGATTGTTGAGCTTGAAAATCTACCTTCTAGTAGTAGAGTTTTCTGGTTGTAGGAGAGGGTTCAAGAAAGGAGTTGGAAAATTCGAAGATCTTCGAAGATCCTTGAAGAACAACTTCGAATTCTCTAGAATATGATGAGAGGCTTAGATTTTTCAATAATCTCAACTTAGGAACACAACAACAAAGGAGATGATGGAGATAAGAGATTGGGTGAAGAAGAAGGCAAAATGGCTAGAGAATAGAATAATGGCAAAGCTCTCCCATTGATCTCCCACTTTCACTCTCAAGGTTGATAATGGAGAAGGGAAATTAGTTCTTTCCCAAGAGTTAAAAATCTCCAAAATCCATCCCTTGTAAAGCTATGGGTGGGTGCTATTTATAGGCACCTCATGATGTAGGATGGAGCCCATGTGCAAGGCACATGGGGGATATTCTCTCTAACCACCTTGTCCGAGGAGGTGACCTCTCCGAGGAGGTGACTTCTCCGAGGATGAGAAAACCCCGAAGAGGAGATCAATCCCTCGGCGAACCCTTCTTCTTAGCCACACCTAACCAATGATCCCCAATCATCCCAAAGGGTCAGGGGTAGTCCCAGAGGACGTCCTGCCGCAAAAATATTGCCGAGTCTCATGGACCCCCCCGGGGTCGTGCCACCTCGACCCGGGTATAGACTAGTTTAACCGAAGAGTGAATTTATCTCCACTCACCGTCCTCGGGATCGGATCCTTTGTTCGAACTCCATTACGCCCATGGTTCTGGTGCGTAGATCCCGGAAAGCTCCGAGCCCGCAAGTGTTCTGGGACTCATTAACGGAGCGACTTCTAGATTGCGTCTGAATCCGTTCGAAGCCAAGTACTTCGGATCTCTAGATTCGTGGATCCGAATCCTTTCGAGTCCGAGTGCCTCGGATCTCTAGGCTTGCTTAATACCCTTTCGAGTCCGGGCCCGAGTAAGTCTCTAGGTTCGTGGATCCGAACCCTTTCGAGGCTTAGAGCGATTCACTCCGTTTGATGGCGATAAATCTGGGCCCACCGATTCTTGGACTTGCGATAAATTCGGGCCCACTAATCTTGGGCTATTGGGTCTAAATAATTTAGTGGGCTCAAATTAGCCCCTCTTACACTGGTGTTACATTGAAGTGTTACGTTTAAAAAAAGTACACTAATGAGTTTTTGTATATTACACTGATTGGAGTCTTACGTTTGAAAAAAAAAATACACTAAAGAGATTTTGTGGAATGTTATGTTGTTACGTTTAAAAAAAATACACTAAGAAATTTTTTTAGTGTGTTACATTCGAGTGTTAAGTTTGAAAAAAAATATTAAGGAGTTTTTGTGTGTTACATTGATTAAAATGTTACGTTTAAAAAAAATACACTAAAATTTTTTTTAGTATGTTAGATTGGAGTGTTATGTTTTTGAAATGTTACGTTTGGAAAAAAAATACACTAGAGAGTTTTTATGAAATGTTACATTTAATAATTTTAACATATGAAAAAAACTCATATTTTGGCCTTTTATGTAATTTACACTTAAGACCTTTGGGTCCATAAAATAAATATAAAAAACAATCATGAAATTACTGTTTGAAATTTATTGATATTTCAGCTGTTAATAATGCGTAATTTAGTTTCCTAAGAGAAAGGATGTTAGGTACCATAATCCTTGCCAATTTTTTTTTTTAATTTTTATTTATTTATTAATTTTCTGGTGGATCCATTCCTTGAGTTTAGGGCATCCCCAATAGTTAGCTAAATGAATCTATTTAATTATGTCAGGGCACATTCAGACTGCAGTTGTATGTTAAAACAAACACTCGTTAAATTATTATTGTTATTATTTTTTTAACGCTTTCTATGGTTGGGTAACGGCTTGTGGCTTCCCAGTCTATCTAGCTTAGCCTAGATTAAATATTAATTAACAAATAATCAAGATAACTAATTTTGGAAATTATATTTAAGTAAGAAAGTAATTATTGGGATGTTTGAATAGGAAAGTATTTTTTTGAAAAAGAAAGAAATTGAATGAGAAAAGAGAATTAAGGATTGAATAAAATTGAAAGGAGAATAGCTTTCTTAACTTTTAGATTTTGTTTCTTCTAAAAATTTAAGATAGACAATTGGAGAAAATTGAAAACCCCACATATATATATATATATACTAGCATTTACCCGTGCTATGCACGGGATAAATATTTTTTGTCCATATATCTTTTAAAACAGCACTACATTCTATTATATATATAGTATAGATATGGATTCCAATGATGAACATCCTTTATAAATAAAGAGATTTAGAAAGGAAAGAAAAAAAAAATCACTATTTGTTGTTTCTAAATTTTGTGAAATTTTTTTATTTTTTGATAAGATGACAAAGAATTAAATTTTTATAGGTAAATTCTAAATATATTTTTTAAATTTGTTTAAAATACTAATTGTCCCCATATAGCTATGGAAATTACATCACGTCACTTAACATTTCTAATCGCATAACAAATAACATATTCCATTAATTAACTATTAAGTCAACTAACAGCTTTAATAATATGAGCAATATATTTAAATTAATAGTTTTGATAATTTCGTTGTTGTATTAGAGGACAATTGGGAGTTTTATTTTTTCTATCAACTCTTTTGAATGACAAATTCTGACAATGGAGTATTTGTAATTTTTTAAAACTACAAGAAATAAAATTTCAGAGGTGTATTTTTAATTTACCTAATTTTTTTGTTCATGGAAAATTGATAATATAAGAATACATATTATTCAAAGACAAATAGAATGTAAAAATCCTTGTTTATCGTACAATTCTTTTTAGAATTGTTTGATTGAAGGTAGTTTTTATAATCAATATAAAAAGATACAGACTACCTAAAATGATCTAGCATACTGTCACATAATATGCCAGATAAAAAATGTGGAATGATATTCACAATCCACTTTAACCTCTCACATTGCAATTTCTTTTCTTTTCTTTTCTTTTTTCTTTTTGTATTTTACCCCTCTCGCAACAAGACCGTGCGAGATTAAAAGTGAAATACGAATATAATTACTCAGAACTTTTTTTAACAATCAATTAAATGAGAAACAAAATTAATGTCTAATGAATTATAAATAAATAAATAAACAATTAATAGCATCCTCACAACAATCTTCCCTTAGATAAGAGGCTAGACTTTGTTTCAATAAAGGTTAACTAAAAAAGAGTCAATTTCTATTATAGGAACCATTCCATACATAGACAGAGAGAAAGAAAGTTATATATAAGATTTTCAGGTGGAGAGATGCCAAATTTTTGGCAAATATTCACTTATGGTCAGAAAAGAACAAAAAATTTGCATTGCAACAACCCAAATGAGTGCTAACCACTATTGAAACTTTGAGGTTGATTTCTTTTCTCTTCCTTCCAATTTTCTCCTATTGATGACAACTGTTGATGTTGAATTATTTAATACTAATTTTAATTAGTCAACTCAATAGAGGCCTCAAAAGGTTGTTGATTGATGATCTTGGGCTAGAAGGGTAGTATTTGGAGGGAAAAAAAAATCTGGTTTGGTTATGGGAGATAGAATATGCAGCCTGTTTCTGCGTAAGTTGATTGAGCAGCCAATGAAGACCGGGGCTCCGGTGAGAGTTTCCTTGATCTTCTTCCTTGTTCTCTTGATTGGTGCCTTTGTTTGCCTCCATTGGATTGATGTTGTGCCTGTAAGTCTCTCCACAACCTCATTTTCCTGGAAAATTCTCTAATTCATGTTTTTTTTTTTTTTTTTTTCCTTCTGTTATATATATTGCTTTTCTTTATATTGCTTATGACATTTTGGATTCGATAATGAATGTTTACGGGTAAATATAAGTATTTGGGATTTTATTTTGCAAAAGTGGATCCAAAGAGCGTTGGAATAGATTTCTCGTCATTAATATATATATATATATATATTTAATTATTGTCTTGTGAGGTGAGTGATTGGGAAGTAAATGAAACATTTCCATTTCTCTCTTGTATCTTTCTTCAATTGTTTTATTGGTTTATCAAATTAAAAGGTTTGCTACACTCCAAAAAACATTTTTTTTCTTGTTTGTAGGCCAAATTATTTAGGTATCAGTAATATTACATAGAATTGTTAGAGGAAACATAGGTAGGGACCAAAAAGATTGAATCGGTTTTTCTTTGACCTTTAAAATATTTTGTGTATGATATTTTACAAAAGGGTAATATGATTTGAATAATGCTTGGGACCCCCTTTTGGGGGTCATCCCCTCACCCCCCTTTGCCACGTGGCAGGAGGTGATTGGTGGAGCAGAAAAAAAAGAAAAAGAAAAAGAAAAGGTAACCAATGAGAGAGAGAGGGGGTCAAAGGGGGTGGAGGAAAATGGGGGATGAATCATTACTTATATGATTTTAGGTGGATATGAATCTTCTATATATATGTGTGGTTCTAAACACCCTTTTGGCCCTGTTTGGTAGAACTGTGGGAAAGTGCTTATAGCTTATGCCTAAACAGCTTATAGCTTATAACTATGAACATAAGGTGATTTCTGACTTATAAATTAAGCATCTCATGCCCCACTCAAAGAATAAGCTGATTTCTGACTTCCAAAAAGCTATAAGCTATAAGCTAAACCAAACACATCAAAATAGCTTAAATTAAGCTGAAAGCTGAAATAAACTGCTTTTAAGTTCTGCCAAACAGGCACCTTGTCCCCAATCTTTACGACAAAAAAAAATAAAATATTGTCTTATCGTCTACTTGTTATCTTCAAAGAGAGATTCAGTAAAATCTTACACATGCTTAGGTATTACCTATGATTTATGAATAATTACAGTTATTTAGAGTTTACTTTGCAAAAGTGAATTTGAAAAATTTTACTTTTAAAAGGGTTTTGTTAAAATAAAATAAAATAAAACACATTCTAGGCATAATGAAATGTCCCCAAAGAATTTTTTTTTTGCTGACATCCACTAGTTGCCAATCCACTTATTTTTGGTTCAACTTTAAAATATATATATATATATAATAATAATTCATGAACCTTCTTTGGGATTATTTTTTATTTTTTATTTTTTATTTTTTATTTTTATCGACAAAAAAAAAAAATCGTATTAATGATATGAAGTACTAGGAGTACAAACTATACGATAATACAATAGAAGGGGAGACTAGGGGCTAAATGCATTAATGCTTAAAGGGCAAATCCCGATTAGGTTGGCACTTTGCAAATCATGTGCAAACTCAAGCTTAGAGCATCTCCAATGCACTAGGCATATAATACTTGTTAGTTAAAATACTTAGTATGATTCACTTTTTTCAATTCCAATGCACTAGGCATATGATTAGGCATTTTGGCTCAACTCATTTTCACTAGCTACATGTAGCTAGCCTTCAACGCTAGGCAAAATGTATTCAATCATTAGGATCATTTCCCTCCATCTTTGTTGTTGACGTGGAATTTTATAAAATTAATAGTATTTGGATAAATAGCTAAAATAAAGAGCATGGTTGGAGTAAAAACATAAAACAGTTGATAGGCAAAATAAAATATATACTTTATAGTAATATTCAGATAGGTAAAATGCCTACTACCGTTGGAGATGCTCTTATACGCTCTTTTCCTAAATTATTTGTGATATGATCCGTCACGTGAATGCACGTGACTCCTAAAGAGAGAATTTTCTAGGGTTTTTCCTCCGCCCCCAACCCCTATTCTCTCACTTCACCACCACCTACAGAGAAGTAGAGCATTTCCATCGGACAACCCCATTCGACAAAGCCCTAACCGGACTTGAACCTTCGAGACGATCAGTCCTGATTTAGGGTTTTATCTCCATCTCTCTCACTCTGTCAGTCATGCACGCACCGGTGCTCGTCCTCAGTAAGTACTCCTTTTCTTCCTCAATTGATCTCTTTTTCCATCGAAACTTGATAACGGTGATGTATGCAGTAGATTTAGGGCATTGTAGGGTTTGATGGTTTAGTATGTTGGGGGCTATCTTGTCTCATCTTGTTTGTGAGGTTGGTCTGCATTCAAGAGTGTCCTTTTGTGTCAGTTTTAAATTTTGTAGAATTTATACTGACTTTTCAGTAATGGGTTAGAAAATATTTGTTTGCTCAGCTTGGAAGATCTTGTGGGAGGTTTTGAAATGAAATACACATAGGGCGTGTTTTTGTGCAAAGCTAGGAACTTTATGGGATCTTTAGTTGAGATGGAAAGAAAATTCAGAATGAGAATGAAGAGAATTTGTTGAATGTTGATAGTGCAAAGAAAATAAAATAAAATAAAATTGGAGGATCTGAAAGTTGGGGAGATGTGTACATGGAATTTTAAAAGGCTTTTGGAGAAAAGTTTATATAGAGGTTAATTGAGTTTTTGATCATGAGAGGCATCGACATTGTCATCAAATAGTTAAAAATGTGCTTTGATAACCCTTTTGTCCTGTACTCAAATAAAAAAGAAGTAGAAAACCAAGGACTTGTTTGGTATTGTTTTCATTACCTTTGTTTCAGTTTGTGGTTTTCATTTTTTGAACACTTGGAGATTAAAACAATGAAAAGATATCAAATCTGAAAACATTGAAAAGTGTGAAACTACATCATTTTCATTTTCTTATGAACTTGAATTTTTGAAAGCTCAGAAAACAATTAAAATATATATATTTGATTATGTGCTGTGTGCATCTTTCAGAAAATTTTATAGAGAACACTTTTCAAAAATAGTTTCACCAATTGTGTCTGAAGTATTGTTTCATCTTGTATGAGCAGTTTCCAAAAACCAATCACTATGCTTGGTTCCACTTTTCAGTGTTAGGTTAACATTATTTTTTGTTGTTTATATAGTGGAGCATTTGGTGTCTAAGTTCCTTGGTTTGAACCATGGTTGTTAAAATCGCGATCCGGATCGTACGATCCTACGATCTTACTTTGCCAAAACGATTCAGATCGTTGTAGGATCGATGTTATAACAGGATCGCAAGTAGGATCATGTAGGATCGCATGGGATCATGTAGGATCGCATGGGATCGTGTAGGATCGCAAGTAGGATCGTAGATTTTATGATTTTTCACCTTATTTTTAATATGTATCATTTTAATTTTAATTTTTATCTTTTTTTTTAATAGAAAGTAGGATCTGATCCTCGATCCGATCTTACGATCTGATCCTTGATCCGATCTTACGATCCGATCCACTAGACCCTCTCACCGATCCTACTTAGGATCCCGATTTTAACAACCTTGGCTTGAACCATACATGGCTTCAAAGGACTCCTTTCAACGGATGGCGCGTGCGGGCGCGTGTGAGAGTGGTGGCGGAAATGGTGACGCGCAGTGGACACTGGTGGCGCGTGTGGGCGCGTGAAAGGTTTTCTGGGGCCGGGCTTGGTGCCGTTGGAATCGTGAGGAAATTCCGAGTGGTTTGATGTAGTGCCGCTGTGGATGGGACTAAACACCAAAATTGCAAAATGCCAGAAATGTAACACTGTGCTCTGATACCATGAAATAATAATTGGAGAAAGTAAGAGAAGATAGAGATGAGCGAATAGAGAGAGAGAGAGAGAGGCACAATTGTTTCTATAAGTTGTATATTTCAATTACACAAAGAAGGCACTCTATTTATAGAGGATGCCTTGGATGCCTATGAACAATTAAATAATGATATAATGCTACACTAACATAATGATATACTAACATAATGCTACACTAACATAACACTAACATAATGCTACACTAACATAATGCTACACTACACAAAGATAATGATACACTAACATAATGCACTACACTAACATAATGCTACACTAACAATTAATATGTAAATATTTTTTTCCAACTCTCACTGAATGGTATTTTCCCTTTTTATTTTTTATTTTAGTTATGACTTGCAAAATGTATATTATTTCGTTTTTAGAAAGTTTCACACTGGTTTGTGTTCAACTAAATTTTTACATGGTCTTGGTGGACGCAAAAATTTTATTAAGAGGGGATCAATTGTATAACAAAAAATGACTAAAAATTATTTATCACATTCTTACAAATATTTTGCACGTATATTGCACTAAAATATTCATTTTTATAAGTACACAAATTAAACATTATTCTTATATTTGCAGATAATATTTTCATTCAATAGACATTTACAAAACTAAAAAGTATCAAAATAAAATTATAAATTTCATTTACACTTTAGACAGAATATAAGATAAAAATAATAATAACATATAAGTACATTCCATATTAATTATAATCACACAAATTGAAGTCATAATTGAAGGTCATTTTGGTCTTAACAAAAGCCACCACGCCAATTCATCGAAATTCCATCCACTAAAACAGAAGAATTATATATAAATCTCCAAAATAATAGATAGAAATATCGCAAATAAAGCCATTGCGACACCCATTAAAGGAGTCGTTTTCCATCCAGGAGCAACTTTACCATATTTCGAAATCAATGGTTCGAATGTTACTTTGAAACATAATCAAAATATTAGAAGGAGATGTTAGATTTTATAATTTGATAGTCCCTTTTTTTTGTATTGAAAGCTAGGATTTTGCGGTTCTTAGAGATCTAATTCATTGAAATTCCATCCAATAAAATAGAAGAATTATAAATCTCCAAAATAATAGATAGAAATATCGCAAATAAAGCCATTGCGACACCCATTAAAGGAGTCGTTTTCCATCCAGGAGCTACTTTACCATATTTCGAATTCAATGGTTCGAATGTTACTTTGAAACATAATCAAAATATTAGAAGGAGATGTGACTAATTTAGATTTTATAATTTGTTAGTCCCATCACCATAATGCCTATAAACCTAATTCATAATTAACATTAATTTAAACGAAAAATTATATTATATATATATATATATATATTGGGATAAATTATACTGACACCCTTTGAGATTTATATTTATTACATTTCCCCCCTCATCTTTTAAAAATTACATCTCTCTCCCTGAGGTTTAAAGTTTCATTACAGATTCTCCCCCTCAACAATTTAATTTTTTTAAATGCCAATTTTTCCCTCACTGGGTAAATTACATTGACACCCCTCACATTTTAAAAATTACAATCCCCTCCCTAAGGTTTAAAGCAGCATTACCAATTGCCCATTTGGTTAGTATTAGTTGGAAAAAAATTCATTGAAAAAAAAATTAATTGAAAAAAAAAAATTGAATAAAAAATTCTTTGAAAAAAATATTAATTGAAAAAAAAAATTTGTTAGTAAAATTTTTAAATTTTTGTTTAAAAACCAACGTAAACTTATTTTTTGAATTTACGTTGTTTCCTCAAATTTACAAACTGAGACAATCATTTTAAAAAAAAATATTTTTTTACAAAAATAAAAAATAATTACCATTTTTATGTAATTTTTATCTTTCGAGTGGTTAGAAATAATTTTTTACAAATTAAATTGAAACAACCATATATATGTATATAACTTGTCCAAAAGTTAAAATGATAATTATTTTTTACCTTTAAATGATAATTATTTTTTATTTCTTAACCAAATTAATTTTTAATTTTTAATTTTTTTTAAAAATTTCTAAAAATCAAACCATACATAGCCTAAGAATCTTTTGATAAGTCATTTCTTACATTGGTAACTTATTTAATTATTTGTTAATTTTACGATATTTTTACCATCCGAGGCCTGTTTGATAACCATTTCATTTTCAGTTTTCAATTTATATTTACAAAAATTTTAAAAATTGTCATAAAAACTTGTTTGATAATTTTTTTTGTTTATAAATTGTTGTCTCAACTTGAAAATTTGAGGAAAAAACGTAAAATCAAAAAATGAGTTTACGTTAGTTTTTAAACAGAAATTTAAAAATTTTACTACCAAAATTTTTTCCAATTAAATTTTTTTCAATTAATTTTTTTTCCAAGTAATTTTTTTTTCCAACCAATACTGACCGAGGGGCAATTGGTAATGCTACTTTAAACCTTAGGGAGGAGATTGTAATTTCTAAAATGTGAGAAGTGTCAATGTAATTTACCCAGTGAGGGAAAAATTGGTATTTAAAAAAATTAAATTGCTGAGAAGGGAATCTATAATGAAACTTTAAATATTAGGGAGGGAGATATAATTTTCAAAAGATGAGAGGAGAAACTGTAATAAATATAAACCTCAGAAATGTTAGCGTAATTTACCCTATATATTATGTATTATATATAGCAATGCTTCAAACAAATTGACAAAGTTGAGACTGAGGTGGAGGGGTCAAGTCTTTACAACTTATAAATCTAATAACAAATCTATATATACTAGTTGAGCTTATATAGATGGATGCAACGGCAATGCCCCCCTCCTCCCTACCCACTCCCACTCCCACTCCCACTCCCACTCACACTTCCATTTCCACTCCCTCTCCCTGCGTTTGCCATTTTGGAATATTAATAAAAAAACGAAAATAATAGTAGACAAATCACAAAGGATTATTAGACAGACAAATAGTCACGTATTTTTTTAGACCTATGTGATAATTTTTACTTCAAAAATGTTTAGGAGCTCTAATAAAGGAGCTCTAATAACTCTAATGGGGTGTGGGTCGCACTGTGATAGTGATATTTGTATCTTTTTTTTTTTTTTTGACTTTTCATATCATAAGAACTCATTGATTTAGAGGTGTTAGTATATTGTTATATGTTAGTGTTTAGCTTTAATAATTAGTGTCCCCAGCTTTATGCTTTCGGTGCCTCGCATCCAATGTACATCACAGGCTATAAGAAGAGAGCTAGGCTCCCTTTGTAAATTAACAAAGTATATACACATCTCATTTATTCCCTTGCTTTCTCTCTCTATCAATTTATCTTACATGGTATCAGAGCTAGGTTAACAACCTAGTCATTCTGCTTCACCGCTGGTGGCAGTCTCGCTTTGGCCGCCCACCGAACCTCTACACAAATTCCATAGCTGAACTCTTCTCTGCCTTACAATGGCTCAATCAACTTGCTGAGCTCTCTTCTCTGCCAATGAAGGAATCCCACCTTCCCTGACAAGCAAACCCCTATTCCACACACTCTCGCCACACAACTACAACAGCGTCATCATCGCGAACTCCTTTGCTCCGTCAACATCACCGACTTAAAAGGCGGCAAGGTGACGGTGTTTGCGCCATCGGATGAGGCGTTTACGGCCGCCAATGTGCCAGATCTGAGCAAGCTATCGAACGCTGCTCCACTCATCCTTATCCTCATCATCATCATCATTATCTGCTAAACAATATACACAAACACATGCAGGGCCTCTCTCTCGGCTCTCGGCTCTCTCTCTAAAATGAATATCTATCTATACTATTATAAAGTGAACACCTCTTATGGTGTCTTGAAGCTTTACTCTCCTCATGCCATGTGGCAGTGTTTTTTATTTTTTTAAAAAAAGTTAAACAAAAAGATGGGCAAGGTTTGAACCCATGACCATGGGTTTCAGTATGAGGACTCATACCACTTAAGCTAAGTACACATTATAATATTAATTTCATTATTATTTTCTTTTATTCCTATTTATTTAAGTACACATTATAATATCAATTTCATTTTTATTTTCTTTTATTCCTATTTATTTAAATTGCACACGCATCGCGTGTGCGCGGCCGCTAGTATATATATATATATCAACAACTGAAACTTCTCTCACTCCATGCCCATCCTATACACAAAGAAGTTTAAGCAGATATTGGACCCTAGGCTTGAATGGAATGGCTCCCTCAAGTCAACCCAAAATCTAGCTATTGTTGCCAATCGGTGCTTGATCAGAAATGCAAAGTCACGCTCGAAGATGTGTGAGGTGTTGGAGATGGTGAACCAGATCGTCGAAGCTTCACAAGAAATACGTACTTCTCGACAACCTGTAAGAAGCTCGATGCTAATGGAAACCTCTGGGGACAAAGTGAAAGGTAAGGGAAGGATCATGGATATAACGACAAAAAAAAAAAAAAGCCTAGGTATGCAGAAAAGCTTAGGTACACAGACGCCAGCAACAGAAAAGTGCACAAAGCACTCACATGAGATGGGCTCACACAAATGCATCTCCATTCTCTCTGCTCTCTGAAATCTCATTCATTTTATTATTATTATAATAATAATTATTATTATAAACACAATCAGCATCCATGACCCAACCCCATGCTCTCTAGTTTTTCAAACCCATTTTACTTTTCTTCTTTTATTTCTTTATTTTTTCTTTTCATCTATTTTACACCACCAAACACTTTACACCCACTCTCTCTCTCAATTCGGGAAACAGATTTTTTCTCTCTCACTTTACTTTTTCCACCACCCACAAAACATTATCATCACCATTCCACCAATACTAATATATATATATATATATATGTCTCTTTTTATTCCATCACACCAAACTTATTAGGCCACCTGTCCACCCACGTTGGCTCCACTTTTCATTTTCATTTTTCCGTTTCACATACTCACAAAAAAAAAAAAACAAAAAAAAAATCCATTTTCAACCAACTCCGTTTTCATTCCACCAACTTGTCATTTTTTCATGCCGGGATCAACCCCGATCACAATTTTACACCACAACCGGCAAAAAAAAAAAAAACAAAAAAAAATATATATATATATACATGTATATCTTTTGGGCAGCCTATATACACACACATACAGTGTCTTCTACACCGGTCAGCTTTATCAATCCCTTTGTTTCAACCTCAAATAGGTTTCTATCTTCACACCTATTTGAGTTTGAGGGGGGGTTATACATATATCATGGTGAGCATGGTTATATATCATGGGAACCACCCAATGACCCCATAAACTGTCCCGACATTGATTCCGGCTAGCTTCTACAATGGTCCGGCATGACCCCGTAAACTGTCCCGACATTGATTCCGGTCAGCTTCTACAACGGTCTGACACAACCATACAGTGTCTTCACCAACGGTTCGACATGACCATACAGTGTCTCCTATCCTATTTTATTTTCCTGTTTTGTTACTCTCTCCAAACTCAAGTTGGCTAGTACCTATCCTCCTTGAATTTGAGGGGGGCTGTTAGTATATTATTATATGTTAGTGTTTAGCTTTAATAATTAGTGTCCCCCGCTTTATGCTTTTGGTGCCTCGCATCCAATGTACATCACAGGCTATAAGAAGAGAGGTAGGCTCCCTTTGTAAATTAACAAAGTATATACACATCTCATTTATTCACTTGCTTTCTCTCTCTATCAATTTATCTTATAAGAGGAATGTATCATTGTTATTTATACTTTCTTGTTACTTGTTTTTGCAGTCCCCTAATACAGGCATTTCATTACAAAAGATGTTTCTACCCTCCATAACCTCCATCACATCTCCGATTGGAATCAACTGTTCCATCACATGCCCGGAAAATTCTCCAGTTACCGTCAAAGATGACGAATCATTATCATCCAAGGCATGTCCAGAGTACTTTCAGTGGATCCAACAAGACCTAAATCCATGGAAGGAAAAAGGAATCACCAAACAAATGGTGGAAAGCGTTGAAAGCAAAGCACATATGAGAATAGTGGTAGTGAATGGAAGAGTTTATGTGAAGAAGTTGAGGTGGGTGTACCAAACAAGAGATGTGTACACTGTGTGGGGCATATTGCAACTGTTGAGATTGTATCCTGGTAAGTTACCAGACTTGGATTTCATGTTTGAGTGTGGAGACAAACCGGTGATCCTAAAAAGTGACTATGGTGGATCAAAAGCCAAGAAAGTGCCCCCAATGCTTCATTACTGTGGAAGTAATTCAACTTTGGACATTGTTTTTCCTGATTGGTCCTTTTGGGGTTGGTAAAGCTTTTTTTTCCTTATTTGTTAAGTAATAATAATAATAATTTTGTTGCACATAACAAATGTAATGTGTAGATGTTGGATATACTGTCTCTCCGATCTAGTCCATTGATTGAGACCTGTGGATCGTATTGATATTGTCGGATTCACAAGCCTTAAAGACAATGCACAAATATTAGATCCGCTACCTCTTTTGTCTAGTGCATCGGTCGTGAGAGACCTATGAGCCTCACAATAGACCACACGTATTGTAGGACTCACAAATATTCCATAGCTAGTGCATTGAAGAGAAGTCCAACTCATCTAAAAATAATGCATTCATCAAATTTTTTAATTATTTTTTTTAAATGGTGAGATGGATATGTACCCATAACATTTATTATATAGATTCTCAAAAGAGGTTTTCAAAAAAAAAATGGTGAAATCTATATAACAACAGTAGGTAGCATTATTGTTTGGAAAATACATTCATTCTATTTTTTATTTTTTCAAAACACATTTATCATAATAGCAAGGTAGTAATCATTTTATAAATAAAACAAATCATTCTGTATATATATATATATTTAATATACTTTTTCTTCTGATCAGCGAAAAAATATATTAATATGCATTTAAATGTTTATATAGAGCAATTCAGTAACAATATTCCAATATATCTATATTGTGTTTGGCAGGCCAGAGTTGAAGATAAAGCCATGGAAAACCTTTAAGAAGGATCTAGAAGAAGGCAACCAGAGAGTGAAGTGGATTGACAGGATACCCTATGCTTATTGGAAAGGGAACTCAAGAGTTAGTTCAGTTAGAAAAGGGCTTCACAAATGCAATGTCACTCACAAACAGGATTGGGGTGCACTGATTTATGAGCTGGTGACAATTTCTTCCCTTTTCTAGTTACAATAATTGTTAAAATAAAAATGAAAAGACTACAAAAAATATTTTGTACAAATTGACATGGCATGCAGTAACAAAGTTTTGATATTTAAAATGAATTCATTAAAATCAAATTAGGTTCACTATGTAGTTTAATTCAAATTTTATTTTAGTTTCTATAGTTTTAATTTGAACAATTTAGTCCCCTGCACTTTAAGATTAGTTTCAATTTGCTCATTCCGTCTAAATTTTTATTAATTTTGTATGTACAACTTAAAAAATCGATAAGTGTTCCAAAATTATTAATTTTTCAACCTCTAGTTTAGATGAAATGACCAAATTGAAACTAAACTTAAAGTTTAACGATCAAATTATTCAAATTGAAGCTATAGGGACTAAAGTAAAATTTAGGTCAAACTATAGGAGTAAAAAGTATAACTAATCCATTAAATTATAAGAATAACTCAACTGTCACATTAATTTTTACTAAAAACAAGGGTAGAAAAAAGTGGAACTCTTTACTTTGTGTTTAGTAGTAAGAAAGTCATAAAAAATAAAAATAAAAAAATGGGTAAATTACACCATTTTTTTTTTAATCATAGAGAAATTTTCATTAAGGAAGCCAAACAGCACATACAGAGAAAAGTCCATCCAATAGATAAACTTATACCAAACAAAGAAAAAATCAGAGTAAGAAACACAAAGGAGTAAAACTATGAAAAAATCCAAACGCATAGATCGTGCTCTTGCTCATACTATAAAGCAGAAGCCGATCATTTGGTAATAGAACATGTACGAGATAGATTATAGGTTATAACCATAAAGTGGGTAAGTTACAGCACAACACCGATGGACTCTAAGAAGTACACAAAAAAGAACCAAAAATCTCAATCCTAGAAGTAGCCGGTTCCATGGAGGAGGGTCAAATCTGTGGCAATTGGTATCGTGGTGGCAGCTACGACTAGAGACGGAGGAGGAGGAACAAGGAAGATCTAGCGCCGATGGAAGGAAGGAGGAGAAACCTAGCAAAACTTTTACCATGAGGGGAAGGAACACCTCACAAGAGGGAGAGATTGGGAAAAAAGAGCTGCCAAGGTTTATTGTGCAGAAAAAACAAAAGAAAAAAAAGAGGAGAGAGGTAGCCGGTGGCTGGAGCCCCCTCCCTCTCCCCAAGCTACGCACCTACACCGAAAACCTTAAAGGATGAAGATAGAGAAGAAACTCCCATTTTTGGAGAGAGAGAATACAAAGGATTGATTCTAAGATAATTATACCATTAGTTTATGTAGTTTAAGAGAAGTGTCACTTTAATTTCCGTAATTTTAATTTAAACAATTTGGTGCCATACTTTTAATTTTGTTGCAATGTAGTCCCTCGTCGACACTTACCATTAGAATTTGGAATGGGGGGAAAAAAAAAACATGCGTAAATTTAGAGAGATCAAAATGAAATTCAGAAAAGCTACAAGGACAATTGTCATGTGAATTTTTTCCATTCAAACTGTTAACAACGAATGAGGGAGGGGCTGCATTGTAATAAAATTAAAAGTGTGAAGACCAAATTATTCAAATTAAGATTACGGAGACCAAAATGAAAATTCGCTGAAACTAGAGGGACCAATATGCACCCTTAAAAAGACACATTGTAAGAAAAATATATTTTTGCGATAGAAGTTACGAACATTTTTGATATGTTAATGTTATTTTATGGTAAAAGTTATGAATGGCGAATTATAGTGTGCACTTGGAAAGCGAAAGTTACTAACCGTTGTAATTATGTTATGAACTTCGTGGCTATTTTATGAATAATATAGTGTAAATGTTACTAACCATTTGTTATAAGAAATGCTACTTTGGTGAAAAAAAGGTTACGATTTGTTGTGGTATTTGTCATGAAACATTATGACTATATTACATATATTGTGGCAGAGTATATATATATAATATGTTTTTTAAAAATACACAAAGTAATTGATAGTTATAAAGTAATCTCCCCTCCCCACATCTCTCTTTTTTTTTTTTTTTTTTTTTTTTTTTTTTTTTTTGCTTTTTCTTTATTTGGCACTCAATTTTATTGAATTCATATAAAGTTGCATTTTTGCAGGATTGGAAATTTACACGTGAAGAGAAATTTAAGAATACGGATTTAGCAAACCAATGCACTCATAGGTAGGTAACCAAATCTTTATTTATTTTAACGCTTCTACTCTAAATTCTGAAGTTACTCCGAAGAACAAGACACTTTCTTATTCAGCATCATGCTTGCGTTTAAGTTACACCTGAACGACGTAACTTCTTTTTTCTACATTATAGAGATGGAACTATAGCTTGACCATGCTTGAGGTAGCTATAGTCCCCCACCCATCCCCTTAATGCTAAGAGTTCAACTATAGTGCCCCTTAATGCTTTTTATTTATTTTTTATCAGTAAAAAAATTTTATTGACAAAAAAGCATAGTACATGCATAATTTACATTAGCAATGTGGGGAAGTGCACTAAGTATCATGTTGGAAAATAGTTTTTGTATAACTTTTTTTTTGCTAACTTTGAGCATTAATTAAGGTGGGATCCAAACGTTATTTTTAACGTTTCTAAGTGGGTTCATGTTTACTACTGCGTAGTAAATAAATTCATATATTTGGTTGCTCAAAACTATTTCCGGATAAATGAGAATTCAACGCACATTTTCGGGTTCGCGAAACTAATTTTTTGGTGGGTTTTCTACACATTTGTGAAATGTGCTTGTCTCACGTTGAAAATGCTTTAGATTTTGAATGGATTTATATACCTTGGCCTGGGATACTTAGGATGGACCCCAAGGGGTACCCAAGTTTGTAGAAATGTGAGGTTATGGGTGAAGTGGGTTAGATTTGTTGGACCCAAAATTAAAACCACGCGCGGGCCACCATCCGTCTGGTCGGTCAGGCGGGCTAGACTTGGGTGCATGGTGTGAGATTGGGCTAGACCTATTGGAACCAAAATTAAAACCGCGCGCACGCCGCCGCTGTTCGCCAGTCCGGTCGGTCAGGCGGGTTGGGCTTGTTCGGCTCAATACTTGTCTTTTCGGACCAAAATTTTTTGTATTTTATTTATTTATTTATTTATTTTTAATTTTGATTTCAAAATTAAAAAGAAAGTTGGTCCAGATTTTTTCTACCCAAATAGTTCCTAACCCGAATAGGTTTATACCTGTACATTCCAAAACCGGATAGATCTGTATCTGTTCAAACAGTCCGAACAGATCTATTAAAATAGTCCAAACAGGTCGGGTTTTTGGTTATTGAATCTATCCGAACAGGTTCATATCTGTTGGCACCTGTTCGAAAAAGCCATTTCCACTGCTATAAATAGTTGGCCATCCAGCAATTCTTTTAATCAAGTTTTTTTTTTTAGAGCATTTATTCCTTTCTCCTTTAAGTCGTCCTCTTGTCTTTTTGCATTTTTCTTGCATTTAAATTTAGGAAAGAAAAGAAAGAGTTACAACATTATTTTGGTTCGCAAGGCTTGGTTTTGTAGTGTTACAAAATTCAAGTGATAGTTGTTGCATCCTGGGAAATAGACGCCGGTAAACTCGAAGCACCGGAGCAAGAGCGAGATCTACTTTAAGGAGATTGTGTCCAACACAAGTCTCGACATTAATTTCTGTAAGCATTTAATTTGAAAAATAATTTTTTCTAAATTATTTTATTTTATTGTTTATTTAATTTATACATTTTATGTACACACATACCTTTGTGGGAATAACAATCTTAAAGTAGATTTCTATTTTTTTTTTATTTCTGTGTTAGATAGACGGATATTTTGTTTCGAAAAATTAAATAATAGTCATATACTGTTTAATTTTTTAAATAGTAGTAATATGCTGTTTAATGATTTTTTTTATAACATAGTAGTAATATACTGTTTATCATTGAAATTTTGTTACAAAATATTATTTTTTTATTTTGTGTGTAAATTCTTTTTTTGTATAAATTTGTGATTGGTGTGTTAATTTGGTCAGAATTATGACAATTGAAATTAATAATACTGAGACTGTTATTACTCAAACCCCCACACCTGTTGTGTAAGTGATGAGTCCGGCAGTATTGGTAAATCATGGGGAGAAGTCTGAGAAATTCAATGGAAATTATTTTAAAAGATGGCAACAAAAAATGATGTTTTATCTTACAACATTAAATTTGGCTCGCTTCACTCATGAAAAAGCCCTGACACTGAATGAGGGAGAGACTGACCGGCAAGTGGTTGCCGCAGTCGATGCATGGAAACATGATGATTTTCTATGTCGGAATTATATCCTCAATGGGTTGGACAATACACTATACCATGTATATAGTGTCAAAAGCACTGCTAAAGAACTGTGAGAATCACTAGATCATAAATATAAGACAGAGGACGCCGATACAAAGAAATTTGTTGTCGGCCGTTTTCTGGATTTTAAAATGATAGATTCCAAGACGGTTATTAACCGAGTTTAAGATCTCCAGTTAATTCTCCATGACTTACATGCGGAAGGGATGGTTCTCAGTGAATCTTTCCAAGTAGCAGCAATCATTGAAAAACTGCCACTATCTTGGAAAGAATTCAAGAATTATCTAAAGTATAATCGCAAGGAGATGAAATTGGAGGAACTAATTGTGCGACTCAGAATTGAGGAGGACAACCGTGGTTCCGACAAGAAGTCAGGAAACCATATCATGCAGGCTAAAGCAAATGTTGTGGAACATGAACATAAGTCAAAGTTCAACAACAAGAAACGAAAGCATGATGGCAATGGTTCAAAACAAAGATCCACTAGTAAGATCAATAAAGGGATCAACAAAGGGATCAAAGGCAAGTGTTTTGTGTGTGGCAGAGATGGACATCATGCTAAGCATTGTCATGTTCGCAAGGGCGGAGGAAGTTCAAGCAAAAAGCCAGCACAAGCCAACATAGCCAATGATTTTTATCTTTCCAATAGAGTGGCAGACATCAATCTTGTTGTAGTAGTCTCTAAAGCAAATTTGGTGGGCAATCCCAAGGAATGGTGGGTGGATACTAGAGCAACCCGCCATATCTATGCAGATAAAAAGATGTTCACAACCTACAAAATGATGGAAAGTGAGGAATAGCTTTTTATGGGAAACTCCTCTACATCAAATGTAAAAGGACAAGGAAAGATCGTGCTGAAAATGACCTCAGGGAAAGAACTCACTCTTAACAATGCACTCCATGTGCCAGAGATTCGCAAGAATTTGATTGTTGAGTCATTGTTGTTCAAGAATGGATTTAAATTAGTCTTTGAATCTGATAAAGTTGTACTCTCTAAGAGTGGAATGTATGTGGGGCGAGGTTACATGAGTGATGGACTTTTTAATCTCAATGTAAATACTGTTGTACCTAATTTGACTTTTAATAATAAGAACACATATTTTGTTTATATTGTTGAGTCTTCTTTTTTATGTCATGGTAGATTAAGACATGTTAATTTTAATTCTTTGCATAGACTTGTTGCTTTAGAATGTTTACCAAACATAGAATTTGATCCTAATCATAAATGTGAAATTTGTGTTGAAGCAAAACTCACTAAGGCATCATTTAATAAAGTTGAAAGAAGTATAGAACCTCTAAGTTTAATTCACACAGATATCTGTGATTTAAAATTTATTCAACCTAGAGGAAGTAAGAAGTACTTTATTACTTTTATTGATGATTGCACTCGATATTGCTATGTTTACTTATTGAGAAGTAAAGATGAAGCCGTAGAAGCTTTTAGACAATATAAACTTGAGGTTGAAAATCAACTTGGCAAAACTATTAAGATAGTGAGGAGTGACAGAAGTGGTGAGTATGATGCACCATTTGAAGATTTTTGTTTTGAACATGGTATCATTCACCAAACCACTGCACCATATTCTCCTCAGTCAAATGGAGTTGCTGAGAGAAAGAATTGAACTCTTAAAGAGATGATGAATGCCATGTTGATTAGTTCAGAATTACCTCAGAACTTGTGGGGGGAGGCGATTTTGTCTGCTAACTTTATCCTTAACAGGGTACTCCACAAGAAACTCAATCAAACACCTTATGAATTATGGAAAGATCGACGACCTACCTACAATTACCTCAAAAAGTGGGGGTGTTTGGCCAAGGTGGCAGTCCCTAGTCCCAAAATGACTAAGATAGGACCAAAAACAGCTGATTGTGTGTTCATTGGTTATGCAAATAATAGTAGTGCATATAGATTTTTAGTTCATAGATCTGAAAATCTTGATATGCATGTAAACAATATTATTGAGTCAAGGAATGCATCATTTTTTGAACACATTTTTCCTTGCAAAGAAACTGAAGAGATAAGTTCAAATAAAAGAACTTTTGATACTGCTATTGGTAGCAGTGAAGATCACAATGATAATGAATCAGATGAACCTAGACGTAGCAAGAGGGCTAGGATCTCTAAATCATTTGGTCCAGATTTTCTGACATATCTGTTAGAAAATGAGCCTCAAAACTTCAAGGAAGCAATATCAAGTCCTGAAGCTCCATTGTAGAGAAATGCTATGAATAGTGAGATTGAATCAATACTGCAAAATCATACTTGGGAACTAGTGGATCTTCCACCATGGTGTAAACCTCTTGGATATAAGTGGATATTCAAGAGAAAAATAAAAGTAGATGGTTCAATAGATAAATACAAGGCTAGGCTTGTTATTAAGGGATATAGGTAGAAGGAAGGCCTTGATTATTTTGACACCTATTCACCAGTGACAAAAATAACATCTATTCGCATATTGATAGCGATTGCAGCTTTGTATAATCTGGAAATACATCAAATGGATGTTAAAACAGCATTTTTGAATGGCGAGTTAGATGAGGAAATCTATATGAAACAACCAGAAGAGTTTCAGGTTCTCGGCCAAGAGAAAAAAGGTTTGTAAACTTGTCAATTCCCTTTATGGATTAAAACAAGCTTCGAAACAATGGCATGAAAAATTTGATCAAGCTATGCTTTCAGATGATTTTAAAATAAACAAACGTGACAAATACGTCTATGCTAAAAGCACAAACAATGACTATGTCATAGTTCATCTTTATATGGATGACATGCTCATTATTGGAAGCAATAATGATATGATTAAATCCACAAAGAAAATGTTAAACAAAAAGTTTGACATGAAAGATCTGGGAGTAACAGA